CCCCAGGAAGTCCCGAGGAAAATCTCCATGACCGTAACCGGAAACCCAGACGGAAACCCAGGTCCTGTCATGTTCCCTCCGGATACGGCCTCTTGGCGTGGCGCTGAGCTCGTCGACAATGGACAGCAAAGAGCCCCGCATGCCCCCTCTCTACTGGCGCTTCGAGGATCTCAACCACCGCGTGCTGCTGCACCTCCAGGATGAAATCTCCCACCTGGAAGAGGACCTTCGCGTACTGGACGAGTACGATGAGATGCACCGTGTGTCCACCGCGGAACAGGAAGGCTCAAAGAAGATGCCCGCCTCGCGACGCATGGATGTACAAGCGCAGGTCTACTCGTCCCTTCACTACCGCCGCGAAGAGGTCATGGGCCAGCTGACCCACAAAATCGAGCAGTACAGTAAGTCCGCATGCACGTACCCACCCTCCCCAGCAGACTCCCCTAACCAGTCATGTCTCGCCAGACAACGCCCTCAGCGCATATAGCAAGGTCCTCCAGACGCTCCCCAGCGCCGCCGAAGAGGACGTCGCAACCTACCGCTCCTGGATGCGGAAACACACCCCCATTATCGCGGCAGAAACGCGCTTCCTGGACTACGCGACGGACCTCGTTTCGCTCACGCCCCGCACTGCGGCTGCGGCCCCGTCGGCGATGACCCCCGTGTACTCTGCGATCGTCATCGCTTCCGCCGCCATCCTTCTCCCGCTGCTGGCCTTTAGCATGATCGCCGAGTTCTCCGGCCGTCTGCTCGTCGTGGCGGTTGTTGGCGGTGCAGCCGCCGCCATTGCGTCGAACTATTCGACCGGTGCGGACGGTCTGGTCGGGTCGCAGGACGGGTGGAGATGTGCTACCTTGTAGGGAGTCCCATGCTTCTTTGATCTAAGCATATTCTGACCATATACAGGTATTTTGGTTTTATGACAGTAGCCGCAATGTTTATCCCCTGAGTTCGTCATGTGAGCTTGGGAGATGATATTCTACGTTATGTATGAAGTGACGATTTTTCTTTGGGTCTCTACATTACACCCGTGAAACATGCCATTCTTACGACTCCAGGCGTTAATAGGGGGCATGGATCGGGCCGGGTGAAAAAGAATGGATGGAATGGGTGTCGGGCCATTGCTTTCAGAATCAACTTCTGTTTATTGATTCTTGTCTTTTCTTTCTTTTTACTCCCTGTCTTACAGGCGATTTGTATCATGAAGGCTGTACACTACCCCTACTGGTCCCTGCTGAATATTCATATAGTGGAGGCTTGTCCATTATGCATCATCACTTTCCATACACGACCTGGTCAATGGCACCTGTCACGGCGAGACTTAAATTGATACAGAGTAAAATATCTAGAGAAAACAACACTCCAAGAAATAGACAACCACTCCAACCACCAAACACGAACCAGACTTATCTGGAATCAACCCACGCCGTTCGCTGAATCCCATCGTCAGACGGTAAACTAAGATATTTCAAAACAAGCTTGAACGGAAGACATCAAGGATAAATAAAGATGATTATACGAATAA